AATTGATTTGCTTACGGTCCATAAACAATTTGTTTTTTGTCATCATAAAAAAACGAACGAAAATTGTATTGCGATAGTTTTTTTTTTTGTGTGGTATGATTGTATTGCGATAGTTTTCTTTTGTTTGTATGATTTTTGTGCTCTCAAATTCTTTCTTGCTATTCATCGTTATAAATCTGATTTTTTTGTCTTGCATATATTTTTTATGACGATTGGTGGATCATGTGGATTATTATCTTAAGCCAAAAGCTCAGCCACACTAAGTGTGATCTATCATCCATGAAACGGATAATATGGTTGAACTTATTGTAATATACTAAACCTTAATATATATGTATCATGTATTTGCCTTTTTAAATATATCGAATCTGTCAACACTTTTAAAAAATCCACAATTTAAATCTATGTCTAGAAAAACAACTGTCTATGTTTAGATCTAATACAATTAGTTTATTTTGGGGTTACTGCTTCACTTAGAGAAAACTACGTTTTTAAAAATCATGAGTGTGTAGTCAGTCCTTTATGAACCATGATAATCTGTGTAAATTGTTATTTTTATTTTTCTCACAGTTGTAGAGACTCCATATATTGTTCTTATAGGTTTGATAACAATTTCTATTTTTATGTCTTTTTTTTTGTTTGAGTCGAAGCTTTAACAACAATCGAATAATCATGCTCAACATTGTTGAGAAATTACCCATAACATGTGGACATGTGTTATCATTTTTCATGAAACAAAAGATAGAAACGTGTTTGTTTGCATAGCCAGTAATAAATATATGTTTGTTTGCTTATGTTTAGTTTTTCTGCTTTTAACTGCGTTGTTCATTTTTTTGTATAACAGAAGTCATACACTTATCTGATCCGCTTGCGATGAAAAAAAAAAACAGAATCTCCCTGTAATTCCTATACTTTCTAAAACTTTTATGTTTTTTTTCTTTAATTTGATTTCTACTTTCTTTTACTGATTTTCATCCTTTAATTGGTTCTGGGTTTTGTTTAATCAAATCTGATTTTTTTAATTAATATATTATTATATTCTAATGTTTCCATTTAAATTCTTATTTAATAAAAGTTTTTTCCTCTGACCGACTTCGAGTTCTAGAAGAACCATGTCAGAATGTTTGTTTAGTGTGCTTGGAGCGGAAGAGGCCGTGCTTATTGAACTGTTCCCTAACCAAATTGTTGTAGATGAAAGCGGCTCCTTTGAAGCGAGGCAGAACCAACCAAGCCACGAACAAAAGCTTCACCGAATACCAAATAGGAATCCACTCCAACGCCGACTACAAAATTAGCTCCGTCAATGTTAGAAAGGAGTATATTATCCAATACACAAACCACTGTTCATCATCTACAGATGCGCTCTCCATTGCTATCACCGATGCGTACCTGCAACAATAAACACACCTTTTATGATTCAATGTGGGGGACATAAACTAATGACCGTACTCATGGTGACTTTATCTATGGCTTGAAATTTGGAGATAAGAACTTTGACCTACAACTTGAGAGGAAAATGTTGCTCTCTATACTAAATTTTGGTCCCAGTACAGATGATTCTCCATTTTCATCACAACGACTTGCACTTCCCATATGGACGTAATTAAGCATGTCGTGTTTGTAAGGATTGCTAAAGGAATGGGAGTTGTTGGGTCGATTGAGCATGCATGTTATCACATCGAATAGTCTTGAACATCCTATAATTTAATGACACTCTTAATGATATATGGTTTCCAATTCTCAATGTTCTGTGACATGGAAAGGTAAGAGAATGCATATCAATTTAAATTAAAACAAACATAGATTCAAAATAATAATAATGAGCAATACCAAATTAGAACACCAAAAGTAAATTGATATATGGGATTATACATTACATTTAGTTATCTATCACATGTAAATTTGTTTTTCTTACTTTCTCTATCTATATTATTTAAGCGGAAAATGTGAGATGTTTTGGTTTTTTTTAGATGCATGTTATGTTTAAATCCACTAACTATGTTTATTTATTTTTGAATAAATTTCGTTACATGATCATAATAAAATTAGTTCTGAATTGGTTTAGTTCATGATTGTGTTTGTGGACATCTATCTTTATATATTGTTATCCTGTGTAGGGCGCGGGTATTTCACTAG